TGATGCTAATGCTACTGCTGATGCTCATGCTGATGCTAATACTGACGCTGATGCTACTGATGATGCTAATGCTACTGCTGATGCTCATGCTGATGCTAATACTGACCCTGATGCTAATGCTGATGCTACTGCTGATGCTAACTGTACTGCTGATGCTAATGATGATGGCTATGCTAATGCTAGGTAAGCAGGACAAACCAAGAGAGCGGCTCAGAGTTTGGTCTGGATGACTAGATTTACTGAGGAGAGTATGTCGGATCACTGCTGAGACCACTGATCAATATATGGACATTAACGATTATTGATTACAAATAGATTGACCAATAATGTGTCACAGACCAGCTGCAGTACCTGGTTGCTCCACCTGGTGGAGCTTCTCACTGTGTAACACTGCAGAGACCAGCTCATGGTGGCAGCAGAGAGCATTGTGGGAGTTCAGCAGCAACGGGACCATGACAGAGAATCTGAGGAGGTGGAGGACCTCCAACCAGAACTCATTCTATCATACTGGGTTCATCAGGGCGGAGTTCTGACACCTGATCCTCCATCAGTACATGTCTGGTGTGGACTGACTTGCGTCCACGTCTCTGTAGTCAGCTATTGATCAGTCAGGTAACGAGTGATGCTGCTGCCAATTTTAAAGACATTTGATTAAAAGTTGTGTCTCTTGATCAGAACCACAGATGAGCTCAATGACTGTCCAGTGGTTCTGTTCAGTTTCTGATGAAGGCTTTCACTTTGGATGTTTTCAAAGACAACATAACTTTCAGAGTTTAGTCCAAGAGAAGTTTCTTAACTTGAGCAGTTTTATATTCTCTTTATTGTAAAGCATGTTTTCAGTTGAGGTTCCTGAGGGTCACCTCGCTGATCCAAACCCAAGCAGAACATCTCACCGTTCTCTCCCAGCATCACCATGATCTCAGAGTCTGTGAATTCTCCTCCTTTGATCTCCAGCGTGAACTCGCCCATCGTCTTCCCCATTTCTGGATACTAGAATAAGCATCAAACATCAGAACAAACCTACTGTGGCTTCACTCAGGACATTGAAACACTCAGAAACAGACAACATGGAGCAGAACACTGACGGTCAGAACTCTGGGAAACAGTTTGGGTTGAACAGGACTGAAGCCAGGAGCTCTGACAGGACATGGAGGAGGAAAGAAGAGCAGATGAGCCCAAACAGACCTGGTAATGCCTGAGTCTCTTCACCTCCTCCTCATTGGCCGTCTCAGCCACCTTAAAGACCAATGAGGTCTCACGAAACCTGAGATTCTCTGTGGGAACGTAGCCGTCCAGGAAGATGTTGATACCTGGATGAAGACGATCAAGCTGTTAGTTTCATCCCGATCACTCGATCAGATAATTCACCTGCAAGCATTCATTAAGCAAGATGAAGGAAAAAAAGCTCCAAAAGACAAACCTGAAGCAGAACCTACGGCTTCATGGTGAGACCTGAGACTGATGGTTCTGTACTGCAGCACCATTCATATAAAACCAGTTACATCTGAACAGAGATGCTCCAGAACCTCCTCAGAACATCTGGTTCTGTATCTGCAGCACCTTTATCTACTGACCAGAGTTCTACCTTCAGACTGCAAATGTTCCAGAGGTCCAGGTCCTTGAAGTCCACAGAGGAGGGTCCAGATTGATCACTTTAATGGACTTTTTCCATCAATTCAGAACTTCATCAGTTCAGCACATTGATCACATTCAGCCCTGACAATGTGTCAACCCAAACCCTATGAAAGACACTGAAGCTCCTGCAGCTGGGTTACCTTCTCGGACGCTGAAGGGCATGGTCACCACTCCGTAGGCGCTGGGAACTCCGTACAGGCAGCAGATGAAGTCGGACAGATAGTCCAACACGCTCAGGTCGTGCTCCACCACAATGATGTACCTGCAGCACACGAGCAGAGTTCTCAGCAGCTGTGGCAGACACCAAGCTGCTGCGTTCTGCAGAGGAGGTGAAGCTGCTCACCTGTCCGGGGTGATCAGTGAGCGGATGGTGATGGCAGCCTTCAGTCTCTGCTTCACATCCAAATAACTGGACGGCTCGTCGAACATAAAGCTGCAGCAGAAAAGCAGAGAACAGCATCAGTTCCGGTCTGGGTTCAGCTAACCCCGACCCTCCTGCTCTGGACTCAGCTAACCCCGACCCTCC